ACTCGATTGTAGTCAACCTGACATCCATTCTGTCTTGTTTCTAATAGCACATTTTTACCTTTACAAAAAAGATTTATTATATTTAACAGGAAATTTTTGCTACTTTCTGAATTAAACCGTAGTTTAAAACTATCAGATACATAAAAAAATGCTAGATAACAAAAACTGTAAAACGTTTTCTTTTAAGTTTTAAAGCGTATACTAACAAATAAAAAGTGTTACGATGAACAAAATCCAGCAAATAACATTTATAATTCAACAGCTGCAGTTCAAAAAATGGAAAAATATCATTTTATTACAACATTTTTGGTTATTTAACGTGAAGAATTCAATTCTTTTTTAACGAAACTCGATTGTAGTAAACCTGACATTTAATCTGTTTTGTTTCTAATAGCTCATTTTAACTTTTGCTAAAAAATTATTAATATAATTAAAGAGAAATTTTCGCTTTTTTCTGAATTAGATCGTAGTTAAAAATTATAAGAAATCTATAAAATTGCTAATTAACAGAAGCTATGAAACGTTTTTTTTCAAGCTTTAAAGCGTATACTTACAAATAAAAAGTGTTAAGTCCGAAAAAATTTGGCAAACATCATTTATATTTAGACTACTGCTTTTAAAGAAAAGAAGAAAATCAGTTTAGTACGGCTTTTTTTTATTACTTTTTCGTGTATAATTCAATTTTCTTTTGACGAAAGTCGATGGTAGTCAACCTGACATCCAATATTTCTAATAGCACATTTTACCGTCGCAACAAATTTGTTAATATATTAAAGAATAATTTTCGCTGCTCTCTTGATAAAATAATAGTTGAAAACTACCTGATATCTAAAAAAAATGCCATATTACAAAAACTTTTTTAAATATTATTACTAAGTTTACTTCTTAGGTAAGTTTTTTTTGTACAGGTTTAATTTAGATGAACACTACATTTATCTGTTGAATGTTTCGTTTCTATTTGAGACTTCCTCAGTAACTAAAATTTTTTTTTTTTTTTATTATGGCATATTATTTCTTATACAAATACAAAAAAAAAGCTTACAATTAATATCGTTATTTTATTTTGATAGTTATGTTCAATATCCAATATAACATCATTTTTTATTACAGTCATAAGTATTCACTATCTTATTTGTAGAGTCAATTTTTAAAAACGATATCCTACCATAACTTTTCGAAAACTACTAGTTACCTTTAAGCTAGTTTTTCCTAACCTAGATTTCTTTCTTATTATTTTAACTTCTGTTACGTGTCTTGTTGTGGTAGTAAAATATTAAAATTTCGTAATTTTTTCTGTTGAGATTATTAGTATCGGTTCTAAAATT